TTCTATAAATAAAATATACAATGGGAAACATATTGATGACATACATTCATCATTGCGATGAGTTTGCAGATAGACAATGATGTTGAAAGGATATACATTATAATGGATCAGGTATTGAGAGTATGATGACGATATTAATAGATGTTGGGAATATGCAAAAAACAGGTAGTCAGGATGGACTGATATGCTATCAAAGGTTGGGGGTTTCATGTGCACAGATGATGTCAACATGTTGATAGTGTGAAACTTTTAAAGACGTCAATGATAAACGACCCCATGGATCAATTTTCTTGGTTAAACAATTAAGGAACCCTTCCTTCGTCTGTTATAAGATATTGCCATAGACACTACAATATTGATGATATTAAATTAGAAATTTTATTAGATGTTTCCATCGTACACAATTATATTGATGTTGATAATCGAGACTTAAAAGTCATAACTTATTTCCTACCTTTTCTCTCTTGAGAAATTATACAGCATTATACAGAAATGAATTTAAAACTTATTAGTTTTCTTGAAATATTTACAATTTTATTATCCCAAAGAAGTTTTACAGAGATTAAGTTTTAGTGTCTACAAAAGTTCATTAATCAAGAATTTGCCAAACTTTACACTTTTAATGCCAATAATTTATAATAAATCTAGAATTTTTACTTGTGCCAAGTTTCATGTATCAACCCTTTTTGCAACATCCATTCTCAGCTGAGTACACTCAGTTATTCATAGCTTACACACCCCAAAAAAATCATCATCATCATTGCCAGTGATTTAATGAACAAAAATATCTTTTCATGAATCATGACCCAAAAATATGCAAATAATAACTACGTAATGAATATATTAATTACATACATTGTAGCCGAATTAGAATTTCAATCAGCATTGACTGACGTAAGGCAATTGTCATAACATTCAATCAATTTTCCATGTAAATGTCTATAGGTGATAATGGAGATGATGTTGAAGTGCTTTTTGATGCTCTACATGATAATTATGTTTTATTGCTATGTTTTTCTTTCTTTTCTCTTGGGAATGATGGTTTATTGGCAGTTCTGATCTATTTATAGAAGGGATGTGTTTTATTAGATTTTAGGTGGTCTTTTTAATCATTATACTCAGGACAAAGCGTGGTTTCTTTATTGATTAACAGAAAAAAGTTTTAGTTGATGTTCTCGCTTTAAGAGAATCACGTGACAATTGCCATAAAACATAAAGACAATCTCCTTTTTCTCAAGCTGAATTATTGCATCTGTAAGAATCATAAGACATTGGATATAATATTATGCAACGATAATCAACTCACTTTTCATCCTGCTTCATTTTCTCTTTATTCATTTGAAGCTCCTACATCTGCTCATATTCTCTTAAGAAAATTGTTTCTAGCTTGCTATTTCTAAAGAACATGGAATGGAAAGCAACAGATTTCATTTCTGACACATTTTTATTAGATCACAATTTTTTTTATTGATGTTGATGCTCATATACGTTGAATAACAATAATGTCAAATATATATATATTTGAGCTATTTTGGCATGTGGCCAAAAATGAGAAAAGTTTTCACGTCGAAAGCTACTCATACCCACAAAATTGGAGTCATTTTGGAGATGAAAACATGATTCTTGTTGAATGTTTCCCCTTTTATCCTCCCTTTCGGAATGTGTAGTCTATTAAGCAAACATATTTTTTCCATTTTTACTTGTTGGGGATACACATTAATGCAGTTATTATATGATGTGATTTTTGCAATGTCATATTTTTGTGTGAATTAAAAGGCAGGAAGAGAACTAGTTTTTTTGACTCTTGTATGACAAAATATTGTAGTTTTTGGATTGCATCTTAAGTTTTTGTAAGTGCATATTATCCAGTAAGTAAATCTTTGCTTAGCTTCTTTAATGGCATTTAAAACCTTTCAATCGTAAGAAAATCTGAAAAAGTGAATTTCAATTTGAAATGATGCAATAAAAATTAAAATAACAAAAAGGATAACAAATAACCATCAAAACATGTGGACACTTTTTCTTGCATCACAGTGGGTAAAAACCTAGACGTCTCTAGTTTTATTTTATATTCAAATTTTATTTTTTCCTCACTAATCATAGATTAATCTGAGATGTAAATTCTAGAAGGATTCGAACACAAGCAGGCGCCATTTTGTGCTCAAACTCTTTTAGAACTTAACACTCAACCCACTAAATCAACTGTGGGGGTTGAAAATTTCTTGGTTAAAGAAGCTATAAAAGCTATTATCGAAACATGTAGAAATATCTGAAAATGTATTTTTGAAAAATCCTGATATTAAAAAAGAAAAGAGGACCGTTTGTCAATTTTGCAAAGCAAGGACCCCTGTTCCTTCTAGAATAAAAAGAAAACACTAAAGACAAATTTTAGACATTAAAAAAAACTTTATTTCACTCATAGTATAGTTCAGTCTTATGTATTTAAGTAGCCATAATTTGCTTTTTTGTTTTTTTACTAACTTTAAGTTTTGATACATTACGAATAGTTCGATCTCCTCCACACCCATCCCAAAATATGTTTATAACATTATTGTTATTACAATATTTGTTTTCGTCGTGTTTTTCAGCGAAATTTTTCCATTGGAAATGCGCTTCTATTTTTAAAATGAATGACATTCAAAATTTTACTTGAAAGCTATTTTTAAAATTGGCTATTCAATGCTCAATAAAAGGTCAAAAGACAAGTTTTTTATGACAATATTTTTAAAAAAATTTTACTTCCATTAATTAAATTTTTAAGAAAGAAATGAAAAAAGTTTTTAACTCTAATTTTCATCTGGAAATTTAAGTTCCGATTCAAAATGACATTGAGAAATGTTTTGGCTTAAATTAAAAAAAAAAATAATATTTTAAGCGTCAAAACGCATTATTTACTCACAAAAAGAAAATTTTTAAATCAATCATTTTTCTTCAAAAGCGTGATTAATTTTTCCATCACTCGATTAATTGGAGCTGCACAAGCAAAAATATAAAATTAAGAAAATATCAAAAAAACTATCTGATAGTTTAGTTTTGACCAGAAACTTATTTTTGTGGAATAAGTTTTCAAAACTAATTGTTGATTATACTTAGACGTGTTAGCTTGCATTTTTAATCGTGATCTGGGACTGATTTCTAGCTATGAATCAGATGTTTGCATTGAATGTATTCTAGAAGATATTTAAGAATACATTAGAGAACTCTTAGAACATGAGTATGGTGTCCATTAAGGTTTACTTAAAAGAGTATTGTGTGTTCAGGAGATTACTCAAAAGAGTATAGTGTAATAATCTCAAATATGGATTATTCAATAGTGAAATGCGTGCTCTAAGTTGTTCATTATAGAAATAAGAAACCAGTCCCTAGAATTAAATGCTAAATCCTGGACAAATTTCTCAATCTGTGAATTTGTAAGCAAATTCTTAAAGATTTCAGAATTTCAATAGATTTTTTTTTTGCATTAGCAAATATGTTCAGCATACTTATTAATTCTAAAGAGAGCAAGTCTAACACTTAAAACTCCAATAAAAAGCCACCATAAAAATAAAATTTAATACTTATTCAAAATGTATGTTTAGTTTTAAAAGAAATAATCATAAAATTGTATTACGGTTAATGGTAATCATACTCTTCAGTCTTAAAGTTTTTCTTTTTAAAAACTTAGTGACAAAATTGCCATTTGTTCTTACTTAATAAAGAAATTGTTAAGTTTTTTGTATATTTTTGCTATTTAATTGCTTTTATAATTAATTTTAAAAAGAAAATATTTAGAATAAGAAAAAATTGTACTATGATAGTTTCTAGAATCTAAGTTTATTCATAAACCTAGTTCTAGATTATTAAGAAGAAGAAGAATATTTTTCATGTAAATGATTAAAACTTCATCATGTCTTGGATCAGTAGTGTAATCTGAGGAAATTCCAGAATTATTCAAGTTCAAATCATTTTGAAGTTGTAAATTTTGAATATAAAAACTGCAGCTAATTGTTTGTTAAGTGTTTAACCTTAAATTTATAGTATAATTTTTTTTAGCATGGCTATTAAGTATAGCTTATATCTATACCGAATAATGTAATACATTTTAATTGTAATCAAATTTATTTTAATTTTGGAGTCAAAAAGTTTGATTTTTTTTAAATATTTTAGAGATCAAAAATTTTATGTTTTAAAACTCTAAAATTAGAAGCTTTTTAAAAGTAAATTATATTTATTTTATCGAAAAAGTAGTCTTAAATGTTTAAGTTCTCAAAATTTTAAAAGCCATTATTTTAAAAATTTTATTCAGCTTCGTCATGGCAAAAATGTCTTTGTCATTTCCACAAATTATCTTAAAAAATATCATCAAATGGTTTGCAAGCTTATAGATTTGCATATTAATTAATACTAATTCGAATGTTTATGCCAATTGAAATTGTATTTGGATATACTCGAAGGTCATTGGAAATTGTTCGTCATTTTTTTGGGATTTAAATCCACAAATTTTTAATTATTGTAAAAATGTTAAAGAATTATTGCTTTTAAAAAAGTCGTTGATTTTTGCTTTGTAGGATACTTTAGCCAAAAGGCTTGGTTCATCAGGAACATTTAATGCAATGCTATACCTGAGAGTACCCTTAGTAGTAATCCAAGGGTATATTTGAGGAGTTTACCTAACCTAGAGGTAATTATAGGTTAGGTAGTAAATATTGTATAGTTGTATATGTTATAAAAATTTGTACTATTGTTCCTTTTAAGAAGATACAGTCAATTCTGTACGAATGCCTGAACAACATCTCAAAAATGTTCATGGTTCATAAAAATTATTCAATTATGTAATGGAACAAAAATGTCAACTAAAATATCTCATTGACTTACATCTGTTAAAAATATTCAGGTAGTAAAAAAATGTGTAAAATTAAATCTCAGCAACGGAGATGACAATTGACTTTAAGTAGTCAAATAATGGACTAACCCAGTTAGTAATTTGCTATTATAAGTCATATGCATTGGCATTTTAGTTACTGGGAATGTATATAATAAAAATAAAACAATTAAAACATCATTAAATTGAGAGAATTTCGAGGACTTGATCCTAAATTGGATGTCCTTAAAAGATTCCTCAAAAAATAAAGCAAAAAAAATTGTAAATTTGCACTATATATAGCCTCATGTGTAAAATTTGATTTAAAAATGAAGAAAAAAAAATTTATCTATTCCAGTCTGAGTATTAAATCAGTCTTTTTTGTTGCTCGTTTAGGCTTTAAATAATTCCTTTAGCCTTGAAAAAACAGTTCCTTCAAGTCGAAACAAAAGAAATTCATGTTTTGGGGTTTGAATTTCATTTCACATAAATCTTTGCACTAGTAAACTTGAACAAAAGTTTTTTGTGGACTTACAACTTCCCTTGAGTCAGGCGATGTTTCAACCAACACAACCAAACGACCATCTGTGTGTAAAGAAGAAATGTAATGTAAAGTTTTGCTGCTTTGTCAAATGTCTACTTACCAGTTAAAAGAGCTACATCCGAAGGTCTATCCTTTTCATCCATATTTGCGGTTAGAATGTTATGGGACGATGGTCGAATTTCAACAGCCCATAAAAATTCGAGCATAGCTGAAAATATCAAAACTCTTTGATTCTTTGAATCAGCAACGACAATTCGTCCATCGTCGTCACAGCAAATGCCTGATGGGCGACAGAACTCATTGAGTGCATTGCCTTCGTGTCCTTTTGTTGCCAGAATCTGTGGGAGGAAATTGTGAATTTATGAGTGACTGTAGGATGAGATAAATAAGAGATCAATCATACCTTAGTCATTGAAGCATCAAGCAAGATCAAGCGATGATTCTCAAAGTCACTGATAATAATATTCCCTTCAGGTGTGAATGCACATCCTCTGGGAGTTGTCAAACCTTTCAAGTAACGACTATGGTTCATTCCATCAAACGAAAAGCGTGAAATGAAATGTCCATCGATGCTGAACATTTGTACTCTGTGATTTCTCGAGTCAGTAATTAGAATTTGTGATTTTGTGTTGACTGTAAAATGTTAATGCATTAATTATGTATATAATCAGCAAAGCATGTCTTATAATTACTTGCTACAGCCCAAGGATACATAAATTGACCTATTTCCTTTCCGTAAGATCCAAATTTGGTAATAAAATTACCAGTACATGAAAATACTTGTACACGATGATTATCTTTATCGACAACAACGATGCGGTTTTGAGCATCGACTGCAACACCAGCTGGAAGATCAAACTCGCCATTTCCAGTTCCTTTGTTACCGAATTTGAATTTAAATGTTCCATCAGGGTAAAATACCTATTTTGCATACGAAAAGTTTTCTTGTTATTCTTAATTTTAAATAAAAATGCAAGCAATTTTGTGGCATGAAGAGGATGTGCTGGATATTTTATGCATTCGATTTTTATGCAAATATCCTGCATTATGCATCTCACATCAAAATTTTAATCATTATTATTCAATTTCCTTTACCACGCTCAATTATGGACCATCATTTCATTAGTCATCAATTAAATAGTCACTGATAGTAATAATTACCTGGATTCGATTATTTCGACGATCGGCAATGACAACCTCATTGTTCTTATTGACGCAAACTCCCCAAGGCCTCGATACCTCACCTAAATAATTTCAAATAATTCGCATTTGAATACATTAAATATTTATGAATGAAAATTTCATTCTTACCATCTTCATGTCCATCAAAGCAGAATGACATGCCTGTAAATGGAGGAATTCAAATGAGATTCAAATTGTTTAAAGTGAGAGAAAAACCGATGTGAAAGACACAATTTGCATGCATGAAAAATTCATATTTCATAAACGGGGTCGTTCAGCAATGCTGTTCAATGAAGAATAGATGCCATCTCATATGGAGCATCACATAGGGTCAATTATATACTCTTCACTTACTTGGAGCCAAAGCTGGCTTAACCGAAACATGATTTGATGCTCCCAAAACGCATTGTCCAACAAGAGAAGCTTGTGGTTTAACCATCGAAGCATAAGTTTTGTTCGAGACAACAAACGAGCTGTTTGTGTTTGTGACAATCGTCGATGAAACAGGCGATGTCGATGTACTTTCGTTCTGTGGACTTTCATTCCATTGTGTTCCACCATTTGTATTTATTCCTTGTCTGACGACTGGTCGACGAACTGGAACAGCTGCTGATTGACCATTATTTGAACCGTTTGTGTACTGATTATTGGCATTTCTGTTGTTGATAATGATTTCGCCTTGATTACGAATATCTTGCAATAAATCAAAGTTTGGTGGATTAAAAGTCAAATATTCTTCTTTTGGTTGCAAGCTCTTGTACATGGCTGCAAACTTTTCAATTTGACTTTCGCTGCTAGTGAGGAGCAACGCAACCTCGATTTTTGGCAAGTTTTCAACTCTATCGACTATTTTTGTGAGAGATTCTGATGTTTGGGCTAATCCAGCTGTTATGAGGAATAGAATAAGTGGTTTAGGTTTTAGAAATTGCCTTGACATTTGGGTCTAGCAAGATTTTTCGCTTACCTAAAGCTGAACGCAATCCCAACATTTGATCTGACAAATTTGCAATCTTTTGTTGTCTGTACTTGTCGATTTGTTCCAACAAGATTCTCTCTCTGTCTTCAGCAGCTTTATGTTCAAAAAATATTAGATATTGAGTAACATATCCAGTTCAAAGCACTTACCCAAAATCAAAAGACGCAACGCCTTTCGAACTCTTGATGATATTTCCAACGAATCACGTTCAATTGATTGTGAATAAGCAACAGCACGATCAATACTGGATTTGATAAATTTAATGCCAAGTTTTGAACTATCGCAGACAGCTTTAAGCTTATCTTTTGCTTTATCGAGTGTAATGTTTTGGATAGCAACATATTCATGATCCTTATGCTCTTTCAGCGTACATTCCTGACAAACGACTTTCTTACATGTCTCACAAAGAAAACGTAATGTCTCATTATGATTCTCACACTGGGGTTCATTAATCGGTTGAATGTGAAGTTCATTGAAGAGTTGACTGACTGGAGCCGTATTGATTCCAATTGGTGTTATTTTTCCAATGTTTATGATGTTGTGCTTTTCAGTAAATGGGTTTATGGCATGTTCACTTACACATTCAGTACAAAAGACATCATTGCAATCTAAGCATCGATGACAAGCATTGTTCTCACAGCGTCCACAATAGATGCTCTGTGACGAGCTTGATGAACTTGGTGGTGAGACGCTACCCGAAATATTTCTGGGTTTAGCACTGCCCGGTGGTCCATAAAAGTCATGATTAACCTGAGTATCAAGATTAAAGTTAAATGGCTTGCCATCGAATGGATCCAGAAGACTTGAAAAAATGCTATTTCCATTTTTGTTTGAATTATCAAATTGCGATCGATTTTGTAGGGAGTCAATATTTGGGAAAGTATTGAGGAGATTTGTAAGGATTAAATTTGCCGTAATATCATTTCTCTGTACATCATTCTCATCTACACCGCCAGATAAAAAGGAGTCCATGGGTAGGGAAGTAAAATATTTTTTTTTATGAGCAATGAAACTGTAAAAATTGCAAAGAATAAGAAAAGATGATGAAATTATGCATTTGCGTATTATCTAAAATGCAGCATAATAAAAATATTTTTACCTGAACGAGGAGTAAAATGCACAATAGGAAGAAGGAGAAGAAAAGAAATTTGCTATATGAAGGATAAATCGAGAATAATAATTTCTTGTTAGTATTTGTACAAAAAAAAAATGCAAAACTCTGCAAGGAAATCCAAAAACATAAAAATTGATGTTTTTGAATATTTTTAATTAATTCATTCGATTTTCATTCCATCTTAATTTACATCTACAATATTTTTAATTCACTTTTCATTCACAAAACTTTATAAAAACAATAAATATTTACCTAAGCGTAAAAACACAATAAAAATGGCTATTCTATCCTTACTTTGTGGATGCAAATAAAATTTGTGATGCAAAAGAGCAAGGATACTTGGTGATGCGAAATAAAACACTCAATTTTGTAAGTGATGCGAAATTTGAATGCAACCCGGGATGCAGCTGGCATTTGTTATTGTTTTTGTTGTATTTCGACTTCTTTTTTCTGCATCTAAAGGTTGCTTTGAAGAGCTGAAACTTGAATTTCTTGTCGATTTAATATCAGAATATCCAGTTGAATCCAAAATTCTAGAATATTCGTTCCACCCACAACTAAGAATATTCTCGAAACAATAATTTAAGGAACATCAATCAACTCTGGAAAAAAAAACTTAAAGATGCAAAGCCAGTAACTACTTTAACGATCTGAAATAATCTCATTTATCAAAACACCGGTAATGGCTTCAGATTTTTAATTCATTTCATCTACTGCCACATCTATCCGCAGCTACAAAAAAAAACTTCTCATCCTTTTCAACCACAAATGAAAAGCAGCAAACATTCATTTTATGGTTGAAAACTACTTCAGACAGCTTTTAATATCATTCATTAATTTCGTTGCTATCTAAACATATAACAACAAAAAGAAGTAAAAGACAGAAATGTATATTTACCAACATACTTCATATCTTCGCATTATTCATTTACTTCCGCTCATCATCATCATAAAAACAGAAACAGTAGTGAGAACGATAAAGAGCACTTTTCCATAGAAATTTGAGAAATGAAATTTATTCAAAGAGACAGCAGGAAGAACTTGAGTATGGGAGATTGTTGAGACAAAACGCAGAAAAAAATTTAAATTGTGTTACCTTATTACGTTCACATTTTAGGGGGGAGGGGGGGTTTGAAAAATTGTAACCAAATGTAACATAGGGGGGGGGGGGGAGGGGTGTCAAGAAGTATGTAACGTTCAAAATATCGTCTGTCTTTTAAAAAAAAGTTCACGAAAAAAATTTGTCTACAAATTCACACCAAAAACATTTTTTTAAATTTTTCACCTTTTTAATGATTTACAAATGTGCAGATCTCTTTTGATAGCTAAGCAATACATAGTTTTTGTAACAAATCAATAGAAAACTGGTTTACAAGACTTAAAAATACAAAGATAGACTAGTGGAAATTTTCAAAATTAAATCAATCATAAGTTTAAAAATAAATCTCTCTAAATCTGTCATTCATATGATGATTAATATGATCCCATCATTGTGATATTTACATTCAAAGTTGATTGAATTTTCCAAAATTCGATCGGGCATAATATTTTTGAATTTTCTTCAAAAAAGAAACAAATTTTTGCTTTATATCTCAATCCAATAATTCATGAGAATACTAATAGTATCAATCAAAACATGACCTATTTAGCTTAGCTGTACAGTATTTTGATGTTTAAGAAAAAAATACAAAAGAAATTTAACCGTCTTTTTAGAATAAAAAATTATCAAAATAAAATAAATTATGAACCTTCAGGGAGGGGGGGGGGGGGTTTGAGTTGTAACATATTGTAACAAGGGGGGGAGGGGGGTGAAAAAAGTTGTTTTTTTGCGTAACGTAATAAGTGAACGGCTAAGGTGTCTGATCCTTTTAACAACTTTCTTTTACATGAGTTCTTTGGCCTTTCCGGAAAGTCATAACTAGAACTTATTTAAAAACTCTAAAAAAATTCTCAGAACCTTCAAAGCCCGACCCAAAATGAGATCAACAGTTTGCATCCATTTTCATAAAATCTTCGCTATATTAAATGAAATAAAAGAAAAAGGAAGCTGAGGTAAAAATGTATGAAAAGAGAAGGATAGAAATGTCACAGGTCATTAAACTAATGTGGTGTACTTTTAATACTTGCCGTTGTATATTTGGTGTTTAGGCACATATAAAAGATGATGACGATGATGATGAGATGCTTTTTACCTTTTGCATATTACTTAACAAACTGCCATCTATTCCATTAAAAGTGACAGAAGCTTTTTTTTGTGGGTTGGTGTGTAGCTACTTACTTACTTTTATATTTTTTTAACCATCATCATCAGTAACAGTACAGTCATCAATGGGATGATTTTTGAGCTTCTGTATTTCTTGCCTTTTCAAATCCTATCAAGGCATTGAAAAATGCTGTGTTTTTGACAGGAAACCTTAATGAATTGTGGACGTCCGAGGTGAAAAACACATCAATACCAATTAGTAATCGAGGCTTTAAAGTCTTAATTTATAGGAAGCATTTCCATAGCCACAATTGATTAATGAAGTCTTCCATCATTTCCTTTCGTCTAGATCACTTAAAAGCTCTCATTCAAAATGCCGCCACATAAATATTTACTTTAGTCTCATAAAAGCGGTTTTGCAAAAGCATCAACAGCCACAACAACCTTCATGGCACGACAGTAGCTGAAATACAGGAAGATGATTTTTCCTAAAGGGCATGACATTCCATTTTATATTACTATACATTCAATCCATCCCGCATGTGTGTGTGTGTGTGTGTGTGTGGGTGGGAGTTGAGCTATTTAAACGTATATCATGGATAAGCTTGATTAATCGCTTCTTGCTTTCTTCTTCCACTTTTTTTATAGCGATAATTAAAAATTGTCGCTCCCCGTTGATTAAAAGTTTCAGTCAATGGATATGCCTGTGCCTGTATTTCTGTTTACTTTTCTTTTATGTACATTCACTGTTTACTGATGTGTCTCATGTCATCATATTCAGCTATGCTTTATACCATGAAGCAGTATATAAATATAGAAACGGTGAGACATCGGCAATGATGAATGTTTGGATAGAAAGATTAAATACAGGATGAGTTTGCTGACATCTGAAAAGTTTATTTTATGAAGCATTCATTAAAGGAATGAAATTTAGTGCATTTTTAATCGGTGCTGCATTATTTTACAGCAAAATTGTATTTACTTCAGTTCCTAAACTTCCAATGCATCATTATCCTTAAAATTTCGTCCAAAAAAAGCTTCATCAAGCCTCAAAAGCCACAAAAAGCTTCCAGCACTTCATAAGTAACAATGTATCTAATATCCCATCAAAAATTGGATCAACATGTGGATTCAAATAGTAAATAACTATAAAAATAAAGTCATAGAGTTTATTTGTAGTGCATAAATGTCACACAACAAAATCCCACTGAATGTAATGAAGTTGTTTTGGGAAGAAACATTTTGCTGACTTCGGCAACAAAAAAGTTTCATGTGTGTGAAATGAAAGGTCATGGGATGGCAACAAAGCTTTGAGTAAATTACTGGGAATATTAGCATAGGATAAGCAAGTTGGGCATAAAGTCATTTAAAATCTTGAATTATTGGAGATCTGATTTGGACTGATATTGGCATTTAGTGAGGGATTGAGACATTAGAGCTTTTGTAGGAGGATGTGGTTGTTTTGGGGCTGAAGTTTTTTTATGCATTTAGTCTTAGTAAGTTCTATGTTTCTTATACTATGCGCTAGTTTGTGCTGTAAAACTAGAAAATAAAAAAGCAGCATTTTCAATGTATTTATAGCATTTTATTCACAAGTATAATTTTTTTTCACAGATTGAATAAGTTTCATCATTTATTTTTATTATTTTTCCCTTTTTGTTTATAAATTTAAAATGAGCATCATATGTATGGATATCCATGAAAATAGATATGATAAAGTAAAAAACAAAACAAATTTAAGTCGGAAAAATGTCTGAATAAAAAATATAAAATAAAATAAAAAGTTGTAGATGAAGAAACTTAAAGGATGTAAATTAATTAATAAGAAAAACTTTTTCCATTTAAATTTTTTTTGTAGCTTTAACAGTCAACTTAATGTCTTCAAGGTATGAACTCTTCACTGTGTGGCTTGATAATCCACGAACTGGATGATTTAATTTGTCGCATTCGACTTAAAATTTTACTAAATTTTGTCTAAATTCATATTAAGGATGTTCTTTTAATTATTGCGAAGTGTCCATTCCTTGACATTTATTTCTTCAGACCGTACAAGAAATTATGTTAAAAATAATTCCTTTACGTTATAAAATAGGTTAAAAGAAAATTTTTAAATATTTTTAAGGATATGCGAGCATAACTTAATAATCTAAATTTCAAATATAATTTAACGGTTTTTTCTAAATTCAAAAAATATAATTTAAGTCAATCAACACGCACAAAGCGGCATTTTCCAATAAATTAACAGCTGATTTCAATCAACTAAATGAAAATTTGATATGAAGGTTACAGGCTAAGCATGAAATCAACCAAAAACTCAAAAGGGGTGTTTAACTATAGCAAAATTTCACAAAATTTTCAAATAAAAACCGTTAAATTTTGTAAAATTTCAACATACTTGCACACCCCTTATGAAAATTTTAAAAACAAATTTCTACCTAATTTTACATCCCAAAAAAGCTCGAAGTAAAATATTTTGTTGCCCGCATATATCATATTATCTTTTGTACAATAAAAAATGATTCAAGAACAGAAATGGTTGTTTTATCTCACTGATATGAAAGAAGTTAAAAATGGAAAACTCATTTCTTTTATTTTCCAAACACAAAAAGATGATAACGATCAACATGAACGAATGATATAAATCTTATTCTTGTTACCCTTGGAATAATTTTTTGTCAGATTTTATTTTTTGTTGCGATAATCGAAAGGATCTATTAAGGGTCTAGATGCTTGGTAAACAGCATAGAGGTTTACAATATACCAAGTAACAGACCCCTTTGGATTGAAACTTTGGTGTCAAATTTCAAGAAATGGCGTGAAATCAGCTCCCCCCTCGTTTCCAAAAGCACGCCCATGCATAGATATTTCTGCTGGATTCCTTATAAATTGGCAGTTGACATTACCGCAAAGTCCTACAAAGTCTGAATAGAATATCAGCTTTAATTGCAAGCAAGATTAGCTAGCAAAAGTGAATTTGATTAATCGAAAAGTTTTAAGCATAAAGTTGTACCAAGGGTCCATCTCTTCATCGCATGATAAATGAATGATGATGAATAAATAGCTATGCGTGTACAGTATCATGTATATTGTTGTGGATTCATTCTGTGCTCAAGGAGAAACTCCACAAAAGCATTTCTCTGGCTGCTCATGACACTTTTTATTGAATATTCATAACAAGATAATTTTTTATTCCTTTACGCCCGCAATAAACCATTTGTTATCGCAATTATTTTGATTATTATTTTTTTGTTGCTGCAAAATTCATGCCTGGTGTTGCTTCTTTTTTGTAGAATTATTTCTTAAGAGAGTTGAGATAGCAGAGCTTTAAATAGATTTATCATTATTTTATTTCTTTCCCACCCTTTTTTTTTCACTTAGTTTAAGAGTCATCTTGCTTCTTCGGCGAATCCAAATAAATTTTGAGGCCACGTTCACGACGTGGCGAGTACGTGCTTGTTGTTGATGTAATAGCATTCTCTTTCTTTGATATTTCTAAACGTTCTTCGGTGGTTAGACGCTTGAGGGGCTCGGTTTTGTCCCTTTAAGTTTTGGTAAAAATAGAAATGACACGCGTTAATGGTCGAGATACAAAAATCAATAAAAATCATGTCATCCAAATGCTGTGCTTTGAATTTTTCATTTTATACTCACTTGTATAAGTAAACAGAGCCATCAGGTGCACCGCTGAGTGTATGATTATCTTCCATTGTTGCTTGCTTTTCATACCACGGAAGTCCATCTATTTGCATAACTGATGTATTTACAAACGAACGTGTAAGCTGTTGAAAAGTAATTACAAATGTTGAAAAAAATTGTGGTGAGGTTTTTGGTGAAAATTTAATGAAATGCAGCGAGAATTTTCGAGCTCGGAAGCTTACGCTTTTAGACTTTATGGATTGTTTTTTTCTTGAATATTTGATGCTGCATGTGAGAAATCATTTTTTGAAATAAAGTATGAAGCTATATTCCTGCATTCAACGTTATTAAAAGCTTTTTCGAGCGTACCCGCGAGCTGTGAGTACGTTTAAACTTACCTTAGTATATTGAATATTTTCTGCATCGATTCCAGATATTTTTGATAAAATGCTCTTCAGTTCAGTGAATTCTGGAAGTAAAAAATTGATTTATTAAGCAACAGTTCTTACATAAATTAATGACAGTGAAACCTAGAGTGACTCTAGTTGACAAAATCATTTCAATCATTACTTACTTCCTATCATGATTTCATCCCATTTGGCTAATTCTAATTTTGATGGATAAAACTGTCTCACAAACAATGACTTAGTCTCATCATTTACAGGTTCACCATCAGCATCATAAAGATTTGCTTCTTCATTGGGTAACTCTTGTATAATAATATCAGGACTGGCACTAACAGTTAAAATGATATCATCACCGAATTTCTGATCGTCTGTGAATATTTGAGCTGGACTCTTCCAACTCTTCTTCCTCAATCTTGTCTTCTCGAATGTCAATTTCTCATATTTGGAATCAAGTCCACGTATGTGAGCCAAAATTTCCCGCTTTGTTTGTCCCACTTCAGCAGATTCTCTGAGGATATATTCGCAGATGAGTGGCAGTTTCTCGATGTCTGTCATTTCAGCAACATTCAAGTAATAAAGCTTGACTTTAAATTCACCCTTTCTTAATGCACGACCTAATTCAATCACTAACCGTTCCTCATCCTTAAAGGCTGTATTAAGTGAAGCACTTAGTTGTGTGCATTCATTCTCAGTCTGTGCAGCAAAGACATGGAAAATTTTAAAATATTCCATTGGTATCTTAACATATGGCTGTAGCTTTATTTTCAATTTATTAACACTCATTCGACGATCAGCAAGCACTTTAAGTATTTTTTGGCTTTCACATGAGGCATCGCTTGTATCGTCATCATTTTCATTACCACTATCAATACTTCCATTAGAGTGTGTCGATGATGAATGATTTGGCAGAGTTGCTTTGAAAAAGTATGCAGTATCATCATTTCCATTTGGATCTGACATAAAATGTCGTGACGATGTTGGCAGTGATGGTGAGACTTGCATGGCTGAGAGATTTGAATCATCTACAAGTGTTCTATCTGAATCACTTAAGCTTGAATCTTCACTATTACATTCACTTGAGCAGGGGATATTAAAAGCAACGCTATCGACGGTATCGATTCCACTTGAAGTTAATGAAGATGGTGGCTCATATGAAGGAATTGATAATTTTTCTAATGTTTCTTTCTTACTGTTTGGTAATGCAAAGTAAAGTGTAACAATATTATCCATATCCTCAACAGCTGTTTTAAATTTCTCTTCATCACATTCGATGTCAAGTGTCATGAAGACTTTTGTGCCACCATAAATAAGTTGACTTGATACGGTTGCATCATCATTTAGTACTGAAGCTTTTTCACCATAGCGTTTTGTAGCCAAAAGCATTTTATTTTTTTGTAAATTCAACTTCTTTGTAATTGCTAACTTAAACTCACTTACAGGCTTCTGTTCGTAAGCCCTAACCTCAAAGGGTCCATCAATATCAATAGACGGTCCGTCTAAATGAATCTGATAGACTTTTGTCGTTATACCACCAACATGATAAACTTCAAACTCGGTATTTTCATCACGAACTTCCACTATTAATTCGAGACGATTTTGTAATTTGTACATAATATCACCAATTTTCTCATCTTCCATACCTTCGAAGCTTCTCTCGATGCTATCGCTTGGATTATCATATGCAACTAAACGACATCTTTCTATTGGTGCAATTGATTTCAACTTGAGACGTGAATAAGCATCCTCAACCACTTCCTTAAGGGTCGAATCGGATATTGCAAAGACTTTTGCGTCTGTTTTGATTCTCGTTAAAGGATTCTTGAAGTAAATTTTCAATTTGAGCATCTCTGATTCACGTTCGCGCTTAAGGCGATCCGTTTCTTCAGAATTTTTGATTTTTTCAATTAACTTTTTAATGTGCGGTGGGAAGTTTTCTTCTTTAATTACATGACAATTTCTTGCTGGATCTTGTTGTCGATACATAAGCATATAAGCGTTTGTTGATGAACTAAAGCCTGAATAATAGCTTTTAAAAGCGCCACTTCCACCGAATGATCTACTTATATCCTCTTGTGTTATACTTGAGACAGTTTGATCATTAAATGAGTACCAATTGCCACTTTCAAAGTCTTTAATATAAGCATAATAATGTCCACCGCTTGCTGATCCTGAATGAATCATAATTGCAAATAATTCATAGAAATATGGACCGGTAGCATTAGAAGAATCAATAGATGTAGATGTGGACATTAATGACTTGCAGTCTCCATTTACACTCATATCAATGCCTTCATCATCATCTTGTGGCTCCGATGTACCATTATGACTCGTTGACTTGAAATTTTGATTATATTGTGAAGCCTCTTCATCTAAAACTGAATCTGTTGTACTACAATCATCACTTTTTACAGCACTCTCTACACTACCGATTGACACGATATCAATGTTTGGTTTTGGTACTGTTACATTTGCATTTGCTGCAGCTGTTTGATCCATACTGCTATTTCCTTTACTCTCAACGAAACCATTCAAATTGATTTGTTGTGGAAAAGTGACTTTATCGTTAAGCTTGATACGGTGAAGTGTTTGATAGTCAAAATCAAAACGTTTGAGGTGAAGTGTTAGGATGTACGGGAATTTTTTGAATTTTAGGCCTTTATGTGCATCACACTTTTTGTTACATTTCTCACAAAAGTACTGATTGTTTCCATCGAGCGTTTCTGGCTGTACAAAAGCTTTGAGTGCTTCCTCAACACTCTCGTATGCATTTGTACTACCGAATGGTCGAACAGGCAATGGTATATCCAAAAATGTATCTTCCCGACTCTTTTCTGTCTCACATTCTAAACATTTTACATAATCAATCATTTTGCCTTCATATAGATTATTTATAAGATCTGCTTGCTTTGTATTTTTGAATTTTTGCTCAAGTGCATCAAACATCACACGACAGAGTTCCTGAATGTCGTGTTGATGCCACGCCTCTGTTGAATCCCATCCAAAGCTTTTTGTTAAATCTGTTGTTTCTACAGCAACTTTATTTGACGTCTGTAAGTTTGCAAAAAGCTTTTGTAGTTGAAATGGAATTGATTTACTCTCGCCAGTTCCATCAAATTCCCAATTGTAAAGTGCATTTCTAAATTCTGGTGTCATAAAAAGGGCTTGCAGTAAGCTATTCAAATAGCATGTCATTGCTTGATTTACTAGACCAACATACGATGACGATGCCTTTGATGATGAAAAGTCATTGCATCGTCTAAATGTACCCGTCGAGGATGTTGGCTTATCATAAATTGATGATGATACATTGGCAGGTGAGTCAAAAAGTGCTGGTAATGCTGGCGGTGAATTTGATGTGTTCTCTGTTGGACTCGCTGAGGCCCCTAAAGCTAAGTCATCATCTGATGAAATTTCTGTTTCGATTGCGATGCCTTGTTTTACATTCTGTTGCTTTTCTGTCATTTCGGCATCATTTCCAATCATTTTTGGCTGTATATCGTCTGTTTTTGGCACAATTGTGTGACTCTTGATGATTGTTGTGCTTACTGTTGTACTTTTAATGCTACTATTGGGCGGATTTAAGTTAATTATGTTTCGCTTTTTCAGTTCGATTCCTAAATTTGTAAGTTTCTCATCTAAATGTTCATTTAAATTAATCTGTCAGGAAGAGAAATAGGAACTTATAAGTTTGTATATAAACCAATTTTATGGCACGGATGAATTCTATGAGACTTTTGCAACAAGTCTATTGCCAAAAGTCTATTGGCAATAGACACAAAAATGCTCTGTTATCAACACTCTGTTGCCAGAATAATCATATGATACTGATGTCATAATAAATATATCCAATGAGCTACAGTTACGCATCAAAAGTTTCTCATTCACTTTAGAGTGCTCACAGAACGTCTATACTATTTTACTTACTTTGTTATACTCGAGCACAAGATCAAATTTCTCATACGAGTATTGCGTCGAGACTTGTTGAATGAACTCCTTTGCCGTTAGTGTGGGACTAACGAGAAATGACAACCTCTTCTGTGTTGTGTTCGGATGTTGATCTAATATTCTACATACGGCTTTATTTTCATCTAGATACACCATATCTGAAATTGAGTTGGGTATTATTTTAGCGAACATTTTTACAGATTATCAAGTTCATTTTGAGTCAATTGGTGGATGCTTAGTCAGGAGAATGGAAATCTTTATGGAGAGAATATGTCACAATTTATGTATTATAGTTAATTTTGAAATTTATATCCATATGTAATACTATTTATGATATAAAAATAAAGCTTAATAGATGACTAAGGTCGCGTTTGGTGATAACGTTATCAATAATAGAACTTATGTCTAGAAAAATGTCTAAATTTCATTCATTTGACGTATAAACGAGTATGAGCATTTTGATAATATTGTTTACACTTTAATTAACTTGTGCGTAATAGATGCTTTTGGTATTAATCAAATGATTAATAGATTTGGTTCTTTTCATCAAATGTTTGACGTCATAAATGAGAAAATGTTGTTTTCTGATAATCCCAGACTTCTAAATGATTGACGTCACAATATTCAAACAATTTATGCGAAATAGTTTTTACAACTTCCAAACCACCTTCTTAAAACCCTTTCCGAGATGCCGATTTTCAGCAAATAACCACAACTTTCCCTTTCCACTTTATAATTAAATTAAAGACTTAATTTAGCTTTGTGCACTTTGTGGTTTTCTGACGTGCGTTTAATTGAAATGCTTGGATGTAATTAAATTTATTAAGTCACGAAAATGTTTGCGGTTAGTGCTTATCAACTCATCAAACCATGACTTTTGAGTGCCACATTAACGAGGAGTTAAACATAATTAATATTGTAAATGACCAGAATTGGAGATAAGTATTACGTTTGTTGTAGCACTTAAGTAATGGGTAGCTGCACATGTAAAAAGTATTGAATTACATTGTTTGCAATTTAAGGTTTCTGGGTTGGTGTGGCAAATGAACAGAAGACGTGTTTAATTCTGGCTGTAAAAGCTAGTCTGCAACTAGAAGTAGCCTAGACCTAAAAATGATATAAATAAGTCACAACTGCCTAGTTTGCCTTCTATAGCTTGTCCATTTAATTCACATGACCATCTCAAGTTTGTTGATCCTCTTGATTTTCATGAATTAAATTCTGATCCAATTTACATTTTTAATTACACATTATTTTAATCTGTATCGTCAATAATTTAAATGTGTTGATTCCTCAAAGTCAAAGCAAAACCACGCCAAACGACCAATTTATCTTCCTCAAAAAAAAAAAAGTATCGAGACGAAAACAAATGACGATGACAATGAGGAAGGAAAAGAGAAAATAATTGAAGGCAACAAAAATATTTTCTTTATCATAAAATAAGAAGAACAGTGACAACAAGAAGGTGGTCAGTAAAGAAAGTAAAATGATAATTATTGCCGCACTTAAAAAATTCTATTTACATTCCTTTACCATACAACAAACTTGACACACATTCCATTTGCAACAAAATTTACTTAATTCTCGTATTTATTTCGACAAATGCATTGCAGCAGAGATCGTTGACAAAAAGTCAATAATGAAAATAAATTTACATTTCTTGTTCGATTTACTCGTGCCTCAACAAAATGCAGCTCTTTTCCTAACAACAAATTTTTTATTATTTTCATTATTTTATTGGCTATAAATAATTTATGTTTTGACGTTGCAGCCACACATTTGTAGGAACGACTCACAAGCGAACATGATCTTTCGTCACACTGAAATTTTTTATATCCGAGAGTTCTCTTTCCTGATGTTATGAATAATTTTTGAGATGAATTTTAGCATGCGGTAGCTCATAAATGGCGTTGATCGAAAAAATGTAAAATTTAAGGTTTTGGTGACATTTTGTGGAAGCTTCATAATCTTAACTTGATCATCTTGATTTTCCTTGATGTTGACTGGATCTTATTAAAATGAACAAAGTTACTCTGAACAGCAACTGGATCTTTATATATTAAATTATGAGCCTAAAATTCCTTTTGGATGTTATTTGGATCCAATAAGAATTTTGGTAAAGTTTTTTCACTAAAATAACTAAAAATAACCCAAATTTCATGCCTAATATTCCAACCTCAAATGCCATTTATAATAAATACATTTGCAACCATTATTATGCGGTAATCAGCTACTGCTTTCCTAACCATTCTATTTTCAATGCCATTAAATTCATTTTTTTCCACATCGATTTGTTCAATAAGTTCAAAATTAATCAATTTTCTGGCTAAACATTCGATAACTCAATCACCAAAAATTTCAATATTTATCTATTTTTTTATGTAAATCTATCATCATGAAATTTATATATTTTTTTTTTTCATTTATTTTTAGAACCGCTATGAACAAAATTTTCCTTTAAATTTCTGTAGCCATTAGCCAATTTATGTGAAACAGATGATCACAGGAATTAGGTTACAAATTGAAATGAATGGTGTGAAAATAGTTTTTTAACACTGTCAGATATGAATTTATAAAGCTCATTGAACTTAGGAGGCTAATTTTGCAGATTTTATTAATTAATGTGTTCCGGTCTATTTCTGCAAGATTAATGAGGAATAATCGCTTGAAAATTTCAATTTTTTTAAAAACTTCTGTGAAGTTGAGCACATTACTTTAAGCATATGTGTGAATATCAGGGCTCTGTGGATTGTGTTTGGTTGATTGTCAATACAAAACAAGTCCCTGGGTAGTCACTTGGAAGAGACAGTCTGTAAAATATTGGATACAGAACCTTCTTATAAAGGATTTAGTTCAAATCCCATAAAATCTTATTTGGTTTACGTTCATTATTCGCATAGGTCAACTATAAGGAAATCTACAAAATAATGAAATGGAAATCACATTGCTGAATGTATATTAATTGTATTTCTCACCATCTTGATGCAATTTAGCAGTGAAATTGTATCAATACTATACAAAGTTGAATTAATGACATTGACTAAGGGGATGCATTTACTATACTAGGTAATATGGTGCCCTAAGAAACTTATCTAAGCAAATAAGCTAATCTAAACTGTACCAGACCCAGATTATCCTTGAAATCTCAATTATCATAGCACAAGACACACATCTAGCAAACACAAACAATTTCCTCTAGAAACTCCCAAAGCAAAAATTCTCAAAAGAGAGAGCCAAATGCTTAAACGACCATTAAGTCTCATTGATTTATTCTTTTATTTTTTTTAATAAATTTTCATTCATCAAGGACCCAATGCTCTTTCCAATTTGCCAAACATATGAAAACTGTCATCTCAAAATGACTCAAACAAACGAAAAAAAAATAATAATTTCAAATATAGAATTCATGTGTGGGAAAAAAAGGCGAAAAGGTTTTTTTAATGAAGGTGATAAATTTGGAAAAATTGTGCGCACGTAGTCGACTGACACATTTCATATTTGCTGCCTCAAATGCATGGCATGGATCTACATTGAGTCTTGAGATATGAAAAAAAAACAAATATAATGAAAATGATGAAAAACTTCCGCACACATTACGCAATGACGATATTTTGCATCTATCTATATTTTATTTTCGCGGTGCCTGCTTTTCATTGTCGATGTGTGACAATCTATTGAAATATTTTTATAAAATAGCAGAGCACAAAAATGGGGGAAACAAGTCAGCATAATTTGGTTTCTATTTGAGGGGATCACATTTTTCCTTCTTTTGTCTCGATAAATGGCTGAGAAATGTAATTTTTTGAAGAGTTGCCGATGAAAACTGCAGTGTTTGATGCAATATGTCTGATGAGGAAGGAAGCTTCTAGAGCTGAATGTTTTGATTGATATGTTGGGGGACATTGGCTTAAATCGTCAATTATTTTGTAGTTTGGTTTATTCCAAGGTCTTAAGCACCCTATTGTAGGGCTTAGCCGACATCTAAAGCTATGTATGAAGCAATTCAATCAACTTGACAGAAATAAAAGAAGATCCAAAACCTTCAATTATTATGAACATCACTTATTTTTGAACCCCACTGAAGCCCCAGTGCTGAATAAATATTTCCCAAGTTTCAAACTCTAAAGATCCTCAACGACTTGCATTTCCGGCATGCAAAATGAAATTTTAAAGGATTTCTGCTGCCAGTCTTTGCCATTTCCTTTCCATTTCACTTCATTTTCATCTTCATGTGCTATATTAATACTCCCTAGTGATTACTGCATATCCATTTATTATTAAATGCGTCACTATTTATTTCATATTCATTCATGACGACTCCCATACTTCCACACACATTCACAAATAGATATTTTACATTATATACACTCGTTGCGACAGAAAAGAACCGCAAAATTTCCGCAAGACTCTGATTTAATTTTAATTTCCAACTCACTTGCTTGCTATTTTTTTAAGGCTGGCGAAATAAAAAAAAAAAACGTTTTTAATTTCTTTTCTATAAAAAAATAATTTCTTTTTGTTCACTTTTTATCTCTCTTTTTTTTCGGCAGTAATAATGACTGTGTAATTTTTTTTATTCACATGCTAAAAAAACTTCACACATCTCTGATAATTATTAATCAGTCTCAAATCCACGACATTCAAATCTTTTTTTCTTTATTTTATTATTTTAAGAGAGATACGCGGAGGTTAGGTACAATAGATAGTCGATTCGTGGGTGTACTACAATAGATATGCACAGTACAAAAGAAAAGTAAGTCGCGAGGAAGAGAGAGAAGATGATCGAAATGAAAAATATACTGATCGGATTGATATTCGAACGGGACTAGCATTCGCGGAAAACTGAGAAAAAGGGGAAAATTCTGTGTGAAAAAAAATTTTTTTGCTGCCGCACTCATTAAAAAATTTCTTCGATACACACATCGACTACATCTTTTTGTGTGTTCATAGCTCAGCGAGAGAGAAAAAAATTCTTCATCTTATTGCTCAGTCTTTTGCGTTTTTCTAGTCGTCTGCTCGCACACACAGTAACTGTAACTATTCGTCATGTGTACGATAAATAAAATTAGAATTCGAAGGCAGAAAAAAAGACACTCGCTTGACTCTTCAAACTTTGAACGGTGGCCGAATGGGAAAAATAGACATTTGTGAGATTTTTCAGGCTTTAAAAATCATTTTTGTTTTTATGGGGGAAAATTAGGTCTGGATGTTTACGGCATTCACACTTGTTTATGTGCAATATGTCAAAATCTACAATGTTCTGTCTTTTTTTTAGAGCACGTTGGATGAAATGTTTACTTTATTCTGAAATCTTACGTAGTTTAAGATGAAATACACAGTTATAGATGTATTGTTATGTGCTTAAAATTCCTTAGTGATGAAAAATCTTGTTTCTAAGGAAAATAAGAGCTCCAAAATAATTAAATTTATGATCTTTTGCTTTTGAGATGCAGTTGTTTAATGACGCAGTGCCCTAGTATTTTTAAGGGGTTGAATACTGGAATACAGCTATATTGACTCAAAATCTAATAGCTGCTAGATCCCAGTGCTATATTTTGGAGAGCAAATAGCCAAGGTCAATTTGAGCAGGACGGGGGAAGTAGGTTCTGAAAACCACTTAAAACAACCTCATAATTTTTTTGACACTCAATGTTGCTCTACTTTGAAATCCATTATATATCCAAAATGCACCCACTGTCTTCATAACTCCCCTATTAAGTCAGCATATGGTGTGAATATCAAAAAAAGTTCATGGAACTTCCAATCGACTTTATTTGCGTTCGTTCTATTAATACACATTTCATTGTCACAGTTCCGATAGCATTTGCCGTTCATTCACTATTTTTAAAAAAGTTGCTAGCACCCAATTATGCCAGTTTTTAGATTTTGTCTTATCAACAATACAAACTTGACTACTCCAAGGGCAGCTGATAACTGCTTGCGTTCAATGACTTTCTATTTTGACAATTTGCCAAGTTTTTTTAAAAATTATAAATCTTTTTTTGACCATGTCAAGATTCCGTCAACTGACTGAGCTATTTTTGACAGAATCGGAAAGAGAAATTGAAATATTGATAGATTATGGAAAGAAGCAGCAACAATTTCACAATATTGGAAATGCACGTGACTTGAAGAACGAGTCTATGTGTCTGGAAACTGTATTTATGTACTTTGCTGTTCATAAAATAAAAACTTCGAATGAGTTAGCAAAACCTGTGATGCATGGCGCTTTACATAAACAACAGCTTACATATTTACGTATAAAAGCTAATTATTGCTACTCCATTCACACTAGCTCACATGATGAAACATGTTCTTGATGTTCAGGATTGTGTGTATTAAGATCAAGTGCTTTATGGTATTACATAGTTGCTGCAAATTGGTACTCGAGACTTCCAGAGGGATAAAAGGCACTTCATTGTAATATTTTCAAATGAGCTTAAAACTTCTCATTTAAATGCTCACACATTTGTGTTGCATGCTTTAAAACTTGTTGAGTAAGTTTTTGAGAATATTTTCATTATGCTAATCAGTTTGGTTCTATTTTTGTGAGGTAGAACCGGAAACTGTCGTTGATTTAATCGTAATTAATTTACATGATGTTGTGGCTATAGCTTTGTACACATGAAACAATGATGTGTTGGGCTATTGTGAGATTTAGAGATAATTGTAAGGTCATTCTTCCTGTGTGATGTTCCAGCATTAGGAACGTCATTTAAAGTATTCAGTGAAATTAATTTTCCACCATGTGAACTCATATAATCTCTTTTAATCTAAGAACTATCTTCATTTCAAGTCCATCATGTCACTCCTATTAGTCTTCGAGTTCTTAATATCAAAATTCTGCAGACATGTGACTGATCACAGCTTGTGACATACATTAAATAAGACATATAGATGACAAAAATCGCAAATATTCAAACATCATCATGGACAAATGTCATCATATGCTCAATTTTTGAAACCAATTCTGTCAATCAATGTCTCAAACCTTAGGAATCAGATCAGTCTAGCATATCCAGTGAACTTTTTAATTACTGTCTCGTCAAAATCAGTTTGGACTATCTTTGTGCAAAAAATGATTGTTGATGGACTATAACCTCATACCGTATGACTTGTGTTTATACTTTCATATCATATCACGTTGATTTTTTATTTATTAAGTTCAATGCAAACTTAGCCATTTCCGATAAATAAAATGTAAACATTATTCTTTAAAACCGACTATCGCAAGTGTATGTATTAAATTTTATGAGGTCACATCAACGATTTTTATTACAGCTTTAATATCATGTGCAATATGGTCTCACATGAGCAAAAATTGTTAATATTATTATTTTTTGAAGATATTAATGCCTTTACCTCGATAATCGTTGATAATGTGATGCTACAGGTAAGTTTATTTTACTTTGCAGGTTGTTAACTTTAATATTAAGCGATGAAAGATATTGAAAATGAACAAGGTAATTGCTGAGTAAGTAAAAAGTTCGACATATTTTGATTTTTGACGTCAATTATGAAAGAATTTCAGTTTTACATTGTTGCCATCACATTCGTACAAGAAGTTATCGTATGTATTGATCAAGATGATGGTTAAGATTTTCGGATTCAACTTTCAGTAAAATGAGGAAACAGTATTGTTATCTTGGATTGGCAATTATGATGAATGAACTTACCAAGGTGAATTTATTTTTAATTCAACTGACGTCATATATGAAAGAAATATGACATACTCAATTGGTACACATTGTAATGTTGTCTACAGGATATCCAATCTTATAGTTTACTAAGAACCAAGGAAAATCCACTTTTCTTTTGGTTTTAAGTATGCTTTCTGCTTTGTCGCTGTGTAGACAATGAATCAATGAGTTTTATTTGGAATATCCAAACTTTTAGGACTTAAAGAACAACTTTGAATCAAATACTAGGTCCACTCTCTTCTAAATATCTTTGACAAACTTCATTCGCACTTAGTAGATCTATAGACTCTGGCAACCTTTTCTAACAACTGGTCACTGATAGATAATCCCTAGCAGGAGTTACTAGCAATTTTCTAGTCTTTCTATTCTACTACTTGCAATTTACTAGTTATTATTAAAACAACTTACTGCCATGTGAAATGTTTGATCAAATCTGCTTAAGTTCGAACCCTACGAAAAATCATCAAAAAAAGAATTTTTTGCGTCATAAAAAATTTTGTTCTAAATTTGGCATTTGCCATATACTTCACAAGAGCGTGCAGAAATCACCTTTATAAGCTTGATCCAAATTTGTTTGTGACTTTGAATTAATTATTTGTCTTCTTCAGGTTTGCGTGCGAGTCATGGACGTTCATCAGTTTTCTACTTAATTAAATTAAGTCTTTTATTTTCTTTCATAGTGTTAGTGTACTTTAATTAACTTTACTAAGTGCACACTAATACTTTTATAATAATTTACACAAATAAGAAAAATCAAAAGAACACCTGGAAATCAACGGTTATATTCATTTAAATTTTTTAAAAATTTGCTAGTAAATTACTAGTTAAATTGTAAGCGAATTGACTAGTCAATTAGCAAATCTGCCAGGGAATATCTAAGACAATAAGCAATTCCCAACTCTGAACAAACATCAAACCAATCAAAAACATCATTGGATCTCTTTTGAAACCTTAAGAAAAAGAAGAAATTAATTTACATATTTTCCAATGGAGTTCATTCATTGAAACATAAACAGCAGAAGCAGAGAGCATCACAATGATTCTTTTTGCAACATTTGTCGATTCCATTGAATGATACAGATAATTTAAAATTCAGATGAGAAGATCGTATTTTTAGAATAAATTATATATCTTACAGCATAGTACAGTAGTCTTCAATGAACTGCCCAACTATTTTGTAAATAACAGTAAAACACGTAGAAGAGAAATTGAAAGAAAAACACAGAGAAATTGAGAAAAACAAGAAGAAGAAATTGGTGTGAGCAGAAAGCAGAAAGTACGAAATTTTTTTTTAAGTTTTCTTCGTATGAAATAGAAGAGGACGAGACAGGAGCAAAACAAATCGACCACGAAAGAAGAGGAAGAAGAATTTAAAAATAGACGTAAAAGAGAAAATAAGGCAAAGTTTTTTTTTTGAGAGAACTATAAACAACATAAGCAAACACGAAATAGAAAGAAAATAAGAAAAATTCGATATCAAGAGTTGAATAACCAAAAATCTACAAAAATTTTTTTTTGTGTGGCGATTCTTGTGAAATTTCTTTTAACTTCGTCTTTATTTTTTTTTTCAATAGAAAAAAATTCCAGTATATAGGATCTATTTTCGGCATTTCACTTAAAAAATATTTCTCCAATAAAATAATCTCATTTCCACTCAATTGCACTCGCCATAGCTTTTTAATGCACTTTAAAATCTCATCAAGTTGGCTATAAACTTACAAATTATGATGTGTTATTTAATTTTTTCTCCTTCACTCGTGCACTCTTTTCTATATTTTTTGAGGGCAAATTTGATGTGTGTCAAGAATTTTTCCTTTTTTCCACATCCACAACTGCGTCTTTAATTAATTTTCCACAATTTCCTTAACACTTTTCCACTCGCATCCACAAAATTTTATTAATTTTGTGAGAATTTCACAAACTATAGTCACAATTTAGTAGTAAAAAATTTTTGCTGCTGCAGTAAAAAATTTAAGGGACGTGAAACTACATAGAGCAGTCAATGTAGATTGTATGCTGCATGCCCCGCTCGATGAAAATGCTGTGTACCCACAATTGAGGGTTTTTTTCAATGTTTACAAAAATTTATATGTATCCGGCGTTTTTTTTTTCTTCTCTCTTTTGCCTTGTG